TGCACCGTGGGCAGGATTTAACACACGTCTGTAGGCTCGCATCCAGCCCGGAGACACCCAGCCTAGCGCTGTCCTGGCCAGAGGCTCGTATCGGATCGTAACTGGTGTGGAAAATGCCAACTTTCAGTCCTTGCCTCTCTGTATTATTAATCGTGGGGTCAGAAACATGCTGAGGAAGGGGCAGGTGATAAGCAGAAAACAGGCATGAAATCCTCTTTTCAGCTCTTCCTTTCATTTTAATCAGCTACAATGATAGCAATCAAAAGCAACAGCGTTGGGGACAGCGTAACTGTAATACACAGTTTAAAAAAAAAACCTCAAAACCCAACCCCATACACATTCGTCCAAATGCCTCTTTCCTCGGTGCAAATGGCTAAGCAGGGGATTTAATTATTTTCCCTCTGTTAGAGGCACTTTGAATAACTGTTAAAAAAAACTCCCAAACCTCCAGTCGAGGTCCGTAACTTTATTCCAATTTTGGTCAAAGTTAAGCAACTTCTTTTTTTTTTTGTTGTTGTTGTTGCTGAAACTCAAAAGATGTGATCTCAGCCCCACTTACTTGCTAATTGTAAGCATTCAAATGGTGCAGTTTAAAGTTACACTTAGCAGCTGCGAAACATTAGAGTGAAGTGATTACAACCTACTGGAGGATACCAAACATTTTTACAATATCTCAGGAGCATAAGGGAAAGACAACAGGAAGTGGTGCAAACTTTCCTGCCCTGCATGAGAACAAGCCAACGGTCTTTTCTTCTCCAAAGCTGTGATAAACGAAATACGGGGGGAATAGTCACATGCGCAATTTTAATCCTCTGAAACCTCCCCTCCCACCCAATATCCCACTAATCAAGTCCAATTGAAAGAGTGAGCAACAGGCACATTTCTCTGGTTGCTTCTGGAGGATGGGGCTTATTTCACAGCCCCTTTTCCTAAAGGAAAGCCCCATGCTCGGGAGTCCTTCTGCAAGGCTATTCGGGACTTGAGACGTGTATTTTTTAGATAGTTTTTAACTTGATCAGTTTGCGCACTGGAAGGCAGCTGATGGCAGCTCCATTACCAGCACATTTCCAGCACATATGCTACGCTCTGCTAGCTGGGCATGGTTGGTAATCACCATTTCTTTGCACTGACCATTAAGGGCTAGGTTTATGGGTCTGCTTCGACAACTCTGCGCCACCCTGGCAATGCAAATCTGGCATAACCGCCCAGCAAGGCAGGGTTTATGGTTGCACCGTCTTACCAACGCAGCCAAGTGAACCTGGGGGATCTGGCCCTTGCTGCTTTGCCTTCACCGGAGCCGTTCTCCGGATCCTAGTCTGAAACTCGGGATCTTGTGCGAGGCCCAGGCCTCGTGCTCATGCTGAGAGCCAACCTACGTCTAAAACAAAGAGGAGCTGAACTACAAACCGCCGCATTCAGGGGTTATTTTCTTTCCAGTTTTGCTGCCAGGCAAGGATCCTCTCCTGTGATTTAAGTGCAATACACCCTCGTGTTTATTACAGAAACCAGGGTAGACTAAGAAAGCAATATCTCATGTTAATTCATGAAACCCAAACCCGGCTTTAATAGAAGGGCTCCACTTTGTACGGAGGGTGATATACAGTCGTGCCAGCCTCGAATGAGACATTTTGCCTTTTGAACTCAGCAGGAAGCCACTGCTTACTACTACTGGAAGCAGTTTAAAAACCTGCAAGTCCAGCAGGTCTTTTGGGCTCCAGTCTAGGCTGTGTTTTGTATCGAGGCAGGGCATTTCTGCCTGCCGGCCATGTGGTTTTGACCGATGGCACTTCCGAAACGTGCTGCGGATTAGTTGCATTGCTCGGGAGGAGTCCGAGTCACAGTCCAGCGAAGCCTTGGGAGTCTTTTTTTTTTTTTTTTTACTTTGCCTTCACCAGATTTGGATCGAGCGGGAGAGTGAAATTCTGTCTGCATTGAAACCAGTGAAATGCGACGTTTGACTTGCATGATGCCTTTGGTGCCCATATTATTCATCAGAGGGGCCAAGCAATAAGAGGCCTGAAAAGGCTTCCAGGCAAAGGGCTGACCCTACAGACTGTGGTAGGAGCAGCAGGGCAATTCCTGCTAGCATTGAGCACGCCACGACGAAGTAAGAATCAGACCCTGTGGGCCAAATCTTACTCCTTTTTACAGACCACTCTTAACATTCGTGCGGTTACACCACAGCAAACAAAATGGGAAGGTTTCCAGCAAGCGTCCTCAAGCAGCAGCCTCACGCCAATAGGGCTGTAAGGCCACAGAGGAAGCGGAGAGGTGTTGTCCCTTTCAGACACTTGGCTCTTTGTCCAAAGAGGGTATGTTATCTGGACCGCCTTTGGCAAGGGGCTTACACATGACTTCAGTGGATGACTCACGAGCCTAAAGTTAGGCCGACACGTATGTGTCTTGCAGAGTCAGCCCACAGGTTCACCGCTGCAGCACGCTCAGCTCTCACCGGCCCAGGCAGGGAGTAGCTACAGCACTGGCTCATCTGCAGCTATAGCTAAGCTAAATGACCGGCATCACAAACCAAGGCTCTTCGGCTGCGGTGCTAATGTTGCAGATGCAGTTCGGCTCGGGGCTGTCACCAGCGGCAGATTCAGCACATTCTTCTTTACGAACCAGACTGAAAATGTTTTCACACTAACTCCAGTTTGCAACCCCCCCCCCTTCAAACAAAATATCCTGATTCAAAGGAGTTTCTTGCAGACTGGGAATTTCCACATGGCCATATTGCAGCACTTATAAAAACGTGATTTAATGCCTGCCAACAACAAATACATTTCCAGTGACACCATTCTGTATTAGGCATCATCCCACTTTGCATGTCCATAAAGGACTAGCAACAAAGCTATTTGAGGCTACAGCAATAGGAAGAACAGCAGTCGCCTTCCTTTCAAAGAAGTTTGTCCCTGATGGCTGCTCTCTGGCAAGACTGAAAGGAAACGAGACTCACGGTGACAACACAATCCCTTCTGTATGTGTTAATCTGGATTTTGTTTGAACTTTTGGTACTGACCTTGGCTTGAACTGTGTTAAAAATCCTAACTGGTGTGGACTGACTTGACCTTGTGGTTCCATGTGTTTGCCCTGCCAGGCCTTACGCTAATTTGCTCAGTTCAGTCCATTATTTTGCCCCAACGAGGCCCTGAAAGTATTCCTGTGAATTCCAATTTGTAGCGGTTTCTAGCCCAGGGAGAAAGAAAAAAAACATTATTCTGTGATCCGAGACTCAGCGTTAAACAAAAAAATGTAGTCAGAGAGTGGATTTGATTTTTGGTGTGCGGGGACAGGCTGTGGGAGTCAAGACGGTCCATTTCTCATCATTCGAGGCGGCTGTTTTTAAAGCTATGGGAGTGCAACAAGATTTGTGGGTTTTAACGATTTCCTTTCATTTCCACAACTCGAATGAATTATGTGAAAAAAGCAGTAGGAAGGAAATTTCAGAACCTGAGAGTCCCTCCTGGGTTTCTCCTTCTTCCAAAAGCTGGCTGAGATGTTCAGGTTTATGCGGCTGCGTTCCACAAGCCGCAATTAGTTTTTCAACACATTTGCTGCTGAACGCAGCATGCACGGTACACAGCATGGGGTTTTGGAGGTCCCGTCTTTTTGTCCAAGTTCCCATTAATGCATCGTGTGTTAAAGGGCGTCTCTGCAGGCAACAGGTGAAAGGCAGGGCCCCAGATCCTCAGCTTGTATGAGCTCCACGGGAGTCATTGGGACAAACACCCAGCCATATAAATGGCATAGTGCTGGGGTCTCTGCCAGTTTATACCCCACTTTGGATCTGGCCTAGGAGTTCCTGTTTTACGCTGGTGTGTAAAATGGGAGCACATCCCTACACACTGCTAGGAGCCATCTATCAATATGCCATGGTTAAGGCTGCATTGGTCACTGGGCCCTGGGAGTGTGGGAGTCTGAGATACATACCCCTACCCATGAAGCAAAGACTTGAGTCTTGCATCTTCTAGATGCATGTCTCCTGTTAGTGCCCTGTGGAGGTGTCTTGGGCAAAGGCACTAACTAGGACAGGTCTGCACATTCACTTTCTGAACCTGTGAAAAAACCAGCAGGAGGTAATGCTGCCTGCAAGAGGTAGTCCCTGCCATCCCCTCCCAGCAGAGGTGGCTTAGGACAGACCCGGGCTTCATGCAAACCAGAGGCAGCCTCTTAAATGGGTCAAAGGCTCGTCCACTTCATGCCAAGGAGATCAGGAGGTGCCATCTGCCTTGCTACCTCTCCAGTCACCAGATCCTTCCCCGTGTGGGAACTGTGACCTGGGAAAAACACGTTTCCTCGTACAGAATTTTCTGGGCCCTCAATCTCTGGCCTCACCAAGTGTAAAAGGGGCACGGCCAATTTGCAGGTCTGCCATCTACCGAGTACACAACCCGCAGATGATCAGGCTGCATCATAGGGCTATTGAGACTGTTTCGTGAAAAGCAGCTTCTGAAAACTCAGCTTGCAAAGAGCCGTGGCCAAAGCGTTCGCACACAGGTTAAGTAATGCGGCAACAGGCTCGATTTCCAGAGAGGCTGACATCCGTTAGTTTAGGCACAAGGCAGCAACATAAAGAAAACTCTGTTCTGATACAAGTGACAGAGAGTTAGGGGTTCAGGCTGAGGTGGGAAATACTCGCAGACTAGTTGGTGCAGTAAAGAGACAGAGCATGCGCACAGCCTGGTACCACCAAAGCCATTTTTTGTTTAACTTAGGTTTATTCAATGACACATGCAATTTTGGACAGATAGCAGAGTTCCAGTGATCACTTTTTATAAGAGCCATTCGCAACTTGAGTTAGTCCATTAAGTACATTTCTAAAATACAGGACTAGAATAGAACCGGAGCAATAAAGATAACTCTTCCCAAGAACAAAAAAAAAGAAACTTTCCCATTTGTAATACTCCTGGCATCAATTAGTATCAGTGGGGAACAAGGACAGCAAGAAGATGCAGAAATGAAGTAATAATATAATCAACCTTAGCCACTGTCCATCTCCTAGACAGTTCTTGAGTTTTCGCTGCCTCCAGTTTTTGCTTTTATGCTCAGCACTTTTGCAAACAGCTACAGTTCGCTGGCTGAATGGCCCATGCGCCACTAAAGTTAGGCGGATTCCCTTTTTTCTCCCCACCCCCCACCCCATTTAACATGAAGAAGCAGGTAACGACTGTAAAATCATACGCTTCATCAAAAAAATGGGTTTAAAAAATATTTCTCCTCTAAACAGTCTCTCTCCAAACACAACAAAAAGAAGCCACGAAGCTGTTAGGATTGAAGAAAGAGTCTCTCCTTGTCAGTATTGCACAGGAAAACAAATTCAGTATTTTTGAGAATACGCTGCAGGAAGATTCTTTTTTAAGCAGAAGAGTCGTCAATATTTATTAGGGTAACGAGAACCATCCAGCGCTGCAGCTAACCGGTGGGTGAAAATGCACATCGAGATTGTTACCCCGGCTGAATCTCTCCTCGTATGTTTGACTAATTTAAGGGAATCCTGTGGGGAAAAGACTCAGGGGCTGGTTTTCGTTAGTCGGGAGAGGCGATCGGTAACCATCAAAATTGCGAGGAATGCTTCCGCTGGTGGAACCGGAGCTGTTACTTAGCGTCTCTATGCTTCCCTCTCGCTGCAGCTCTGCAATGGAAAGAGAAAACAGGCCCTGGTTAATGTTTCAGATAAAAGAATGAAGGTTACCATTAGAAGGCCACTTTATTGACAAATCTGTTTATTGTATCCCTGGGCTAACATTACGTTCGCTTGTCATCCATCTTTTACTGGGTGATTTGACGAATCACTCCAGAGGCAACCCAACTGCTGTTTCTACTTCTTCCCCCGGCTTGTGTTTCAGCCCAAACGTACATGGGATTTTATTAAGACCTTCCGCATTGTCTTGCAGATGTGGTGTGTAATCGCTCTTTTGGTGGTGGTGGTGTGGGGGGGGGGG